CAAGGCCCGGCGCGCCCCGCGACACTTCCCTTCCACTTCCGGTCCATGGAGCAGCGCGCGGACCGTTATGTCCGGTCTGAGGGGCAAGCCGCGAGTGCGCACATGCGCAGCAACATAGGTGCAGGCGCAGTACGAACTTTGTGGCAGTATTTTTCATCCACTGCTGAAGAGGGCCGGAAGTAAGTCCCGGAGGGCGGACCCTCCCTAGTGGGCGTGGCCTGAGGGGCCTGGGCGGGGCCATCGGGCTGTGGCTGGCTGACTGGAGGTGGAAGCCGGGTGAACGCTTTCAAACCCGCTGCTGTGGGTTTGAAAGCGGAACCGATTTGGGTCAGCCTTGCATTCGACAGCAGTCTAGTAAACCAATATCCCGTCACCAGCTGTGATTCGCTGTCAGGTGGCGATTAAAGGAAGTCAGTCTCTGAATGGCAATCAAAACTTATCAGTAATCGCCTCTGTCAACTTATCAGTGGCTGCCCCACCCCAGTTTGCCCAGTGAACCCAGGGGACTAGACTAGCACGTGTGTTATTTAGACATCGTGCCTAGTGCAAAGTGTGGCTGATTTTCTTTTAATTCTGTCATTCTTTTTTAAGATTTTTAAAAATTTATTATGTATACAGTGTTCTGCCTGCTGGCCAGAAGAGGGTACCAGATCTTATTACAGATGGTTGTGAGCCACCATGTAGTTGCTGGGGGTTGAACTCAGGACTGCTCTGAACCTCCGAGCCATCTCTCCAGCCCTAATTCTGTCATTCTTAACCGTCCTGGGAGACCAGCCAACACCTCAGCACCCGCCCCTTTGTTTTTCTTTCTTTCTTGTAGTTGCTTTGTGTGTGTTCCAGTACACACAGGGAGGTCAGTTTTCTCCTTTTCACTATGTGGGTCCCAGAGATCAGGTTATCAGTTTCCGCAGCAGGCGTCTTTACTTGCAGCCCCCCCCCCATTCCTTTTTCAGTTTTTTGGGCAGGAGAAGTATTCACTCCTAATGGCCGAGACCTCTCTCTGTTCCCAGCAGGCACATATGATGCTTCACAACTGCCTATAACTCCAGTTCCAGGTGATCTGATGCCTCTGTGGACAGCTGCACTCATGCACACACACCTGAATATGGACTTTTTACAAAGTACTAAGTTTTAGTGAGGCATAGTAGTGTGTGCCTTCAATCCCAGCACTTGGAAGCAGAGGCAGGCAGATCTGTGTGTTCCAGGTCAGCCAGTAAGATGCAGTTTAAAAAATTTTAATTTATCCTTTGTCAGTTTCATAATGTATACATTTTATATTTTGAACATATTGGCCCATTTCCCTCTTATTACTCCCTCCCTTCTTATTTAACATTTATTGTGTGTGTTATGTGTGAGCATGTGGAGTTCAGAAGACAATTTGTGGAAATCAGTTCTCTCCTTCCACCGTGAATCCTGGGACTCAAACTCAGGTCTGCAGGCTTGGTGGCAAGAGCCTTCACCTGCTGGGGCATCTTGTCCAGTTCCTGGTAGGACTTCATGCAGGTTTGCAGCCTTCGCTATAGAACCTAGGTAAAAACAGGCGAAAAATGGTGTGGTGGTGCATGCCTTCAATCCTAGCACTTCAGAGGTAGAAGCAGGAGGATCTAATAGCCTGGTCTACAAGAGTATTTCAGGGCAACTAGGGTTGCTCAGTGAGACCCAGTCTCAAACCTCCTGCCTCAACAACAAAAAAAAACCCCAAAAACCCCCAAAAATCCTCAAATAATTAAATCTCACGCCATTAAACTGTCTCATGCACAAAATTCTTCAAAAAAATTGTGCATTTTATTTGGTCAAGGTGTTTTGTTTGCTTGTTTTTGTTTTTCCGAGACAGCGTTTCTCTGTGGCTTTGGAGGCTGTCCTGGAACTAGCTCATGTAGACCAGGCTGGTCTCGAAATCACAGAGATCTGCCTGCCTTTGCCTCCCCAGTGCTGGGACTAAAGGCGTGCGCCACCAACGCCTGTTGGTCATGGTGTTTTATCACAGCAATAGTGACCCTAGCTAAGGCAGACATTGGTAGCAGGATTGTAGGGTATTGCTGTGACAGACATGACCATGTTATTTTGTGGAGGACTAGGGAAGGACTTTAAACTTTGGGTAAGAAAAGGCATTGAATGTTCAAAACTTGGTGGGCTGTTGTGTGGGAGCTTGGGGAAAAAAAAAAAAAGGGTGTTGAGAGAAATGCAGGCCTGGCTTGTGAAGTTCCAGGGGGAAGTTCAAGTGTCACTTACTGAGTTTGGGCCATTGCATATTTGCTATTTTGAATTGAGATTCTATGGTTCTGGGCTGGAGAGATGGCTCAGAGGTTAAGAGTGCTGGCTGCTCTTCCAGAGGTCCTGAGTTCAATTCCCAGCAACCACATGGTGGCTCATAGTCATCCATTATGAGACCTGGTGCCCTCTTCTGGTGTGCAGATATACACAGAAGCAGAATGTTGTATACATAATAAATAAAATCTTAAATAAAAAGATTATATGGGTCTGGCCAGCTGGGGCTGAAGAGTCAGCCATACTTAACAGGAGTCCAATGCCACTGAAGTGAAACCTTTGCTTTATTGGGACAACTGATGTTGGTCAGCTGGAGCTGAGAAATTAGCAGCAATTAAGAAGAGACTAGCATCACTGAGGTGAAATCTTCTGGGAGGTATTCCCCTGGATCAGCACAGAGAAGCTGTGTTCCAGAGGCAGCCAAGGTTGTACCCAGTGCTGGCAGCTAAACTTAGTAGTGTAAGAATCACCTAGGTGGTACTGGTTTTGAAGACATTAAAAGGGTCATGGACAGCAGCTAAGACTTGACACTGTGAGAGGCTGGCAGAGGCCATTAATGAAGATGCAGCCCGAGTGGCAGTGGAAGCCCCAGGACTAAAGGAGTCATGCAGAGAAGCTGAGGCTTGGTATCATGAAGAGAGCCCAGGAGAGGCTATTGGTGAAAGTGCGGCCCAGTTGAAACAGAAGTCCCAGCATTTTGGAGACGCCAGCACCATCGGATGACCACCAAGAACAGCAGCAGTGGTGTAGTGGAGCCAGCCAGAGCCTAGGAGACAAGGTGTGTATGCTGCAGAGGACGGAGCCAGAAAAGTGACCCATGATCTTTGGCATTGCCCAGACAATCCTGAGTGAATCCCAGATATTGGACATTGAGTTATTTATACTGTTGGGGTGTTATTTTGCTTTGCTTTAGTTGTGACTGTAGCCTGGTTCTTCCTTCTTGAAGTAAGTATTTAACTTATTTTTGGTTTTATGGTAGCTCACATTTGAAATGAATTTTAAAAGACTAGACATTTTTAAAAAATCGCATTTTGTATACTATGTTCAAAGACAAAAAAGTTCATCTAAAATGACCACAAAGGTACAAATGAAATAGAAATGAAATGTATGCCGACTTGTGACAATGACTGAAACATCCCATTACATATCACAAAATTACTATGTTGCCCAAATCTGGAAAAACTCCCAAATCCAAAATGGTCCTAAACACTTGAGACAAGGCACGCACACCCCACAAGCCATCTCCCTCAGGCAGAACACAGTGGAATAAATGTGTCACCCAGACTGAGATAACTCCGTGGGTAAAGGCACTTAGGCTAAGTCGCACAGTTGGAGTTAGATCCAATCCCCCCAGGATCCACACGGTGAAGGAGAGGCCAATCCTCCTATAATACACACACACCATTTCTGTCTCTCTCTCTCTAAAACAAAAGCACCTAACTTTACCCACAGGTTTGTACCGTGCATTCTTCATGGGGCAGAATGGAAAGGTGTCCCTGTGATAGACAACATGTACAGACAACACTCACAGTCTTCATGACTGGCATTTGCTTTATTCTACAAGACAGCTCCAGCGATTCCTGGCATTTTTTCTGTATCCATGGCAACACAAGCTGCTTCTCTCAACAGTGTGTGTGCACAGGTTCTCCAAGTGGTCACCTAGTCTCTCAGATGCTTTGCCCTGGCCACTGTCTGGCATTTGGTGTCCTTAAGCCAGGAATGCCACACAGGTTCATGATACATACCATATGCTTAGAGTCCCAGGTGCCATCATTGAGAACTGAATTGATTAGAAATGTCTGCAATGGCCCCCACAGGGTGGACTGAGGAACTGGCCATATGCCGGAGGCCCGTGTCTCATCCTTGCTTCAGGTGGCTGTTGCTTGATGTAAGCTGTGTGGTCTGATGTCCAGGTTGCCCAAAAGGAGCAGCACTGTGGGAACTTCTGTGGTGGTCCACAGGCAGGAGCTTCCTGTCCTGGCATTGTGGTACAGATGAAGACAGATGCTGAAACGGGGTTGGGAAGGTACCCTCCTTCCATGGCTCTCACCCAGAAATGATCCCAGCCTGTCAATTCACAACATCTCGTCCAAATAGGAAATGGTACTACCCAGAAACCAAAACTCAGTGAAAGGACAGCCTGACTTTAATTCAAGTTTCAGAAAGCCTGGGCTCAGCAGATGCACCAGGCAGATGTAGAACATTCTAGAAAACACTGAGGGAGCAATACAGCCAACCTGGCCTGTCTTTTGCACCAGGGGCAGGTTACTTGGTCCAGCTGACTTTAGGAATGTCATAGTGCTCTGTGAGTGTGTCCAGGTGTCTGTTGAAGTCCTGTGGAAGAGAGGCCACATCAGTGTGAACCAGGTGGGTAGTGCACCCATCTGTGCCCAGCCTGTCTCACACACTCCACCACTGGACTCACAGCACCCCAAATGAGTCTGGGGAGGCACCATGCCTAATGGTGTGCTCCAACAGTCCAAGCTATACTGCCCTGGGCTCTGGGCTCCCCACAGGGGTAGGGCTCACCTCCACTCTCTGCTTATGGGTTTTGGATGCCTTCTTCAGGATTCTTTCCATTTGCTGGAGAGAGAAGAGACTGGAGTGAGTCACCATGCCCCACAGCCCAAAAGCGCCCAAAGCAGCTGTGGTCCCACAGCTGTCGCTCTCCTGATACCCCACTCAGGAGGGGCCCCTGCTTAGTCTCCCTGCAATCCCAGCATTCCTCAGGGCAGACCCTGCCAGGAGCTGGACAATGGCTTTGTGCTGCCCTGGGCCATGGTGAACGCCTGGGACTGGAAGGAAAGAAACCATGTGCCACATGGAGCAAGAGGCCCCAGGGAGGAGGGGCTAAAGAGAATTCAAATGAATGTTCAGTGTTTTCATTTCTCTTATGACAAAATACTCAGGCGAAAAAGCAACTTGGGGAGAAAGGGTCACACAGTCCACCATGGAGGGATAGTGAAGGCAGTCTTAGGGCCACAACTCAGGCAAGGGCATAGAGAAATGGATGTGAGTATGGGTCATGCTCAGTTTTCTCTGCTCTTACATAGTTCAAAACCCAAACCCTGGGCTAAAGATCTTTAGCTCAGTGGTTAAAAGTAACTGCTGCTCTTTCAGAGTCTGCACCAAGATGGTGGCTCACACTTTTCTGTAAATCCAGGTTCAGGGACCCTACACCCTCTTTCTAGTCTTCTTCGGCAGCACAGCACCACACCCACATACAGACAAAACACTTGTACACATAAACACAATGCCTGAAGTCTCACACCCAGGGACTGGTACTGTCTAAGACAGGAAAGGACAGCAGGTCTTCCCATCTCAGTGCAAATCAGACAGTGCCTCACTGAGACTCTCCTTCCAGGAGACCCTAGCTTATGTCAAGTTGTCAGTTAGGGCAAGACCACAGCCAGTCAGCTCATGTCTTCACTCAATTATAGATGCTAAAAAATTGACTTCACAAAGTACAGACTAGACCAGAGAACACCACTGGCTAGGAGAAGACAGACAGGATGGGGCTAGCAAGACAGCAAGGGGTAGTGTCCCAAGTCTCACAGCACAACGGGGTGACCAGAACTTGTGGATTAAATGCCCTTCATTAGATGGAGATTGTGCCCTCATGGATTTGCTCAGCAAATGGGTATCACATTATAACACTGCACCCAGAAGTTCAAACACTACTAGTTATTTTCAAAAGGAGAGAGAGAGAGAGAAAGAGAGAGAGAGAGAGAGAGAAGAAAAAGACAGACCTATGCTGGACATGGATGGTGGCACAAACCTCTGATCCCCTCACGGGAAGGCTGCAGCAGGAGATCAGAGGGTCCCATTTCAAAATGAAGACAAGGACCAGCAAAATGGCTTGAAGGGCAAGGGTGCCTGAGTTCACTCCCTGGGATCCACATGTGGGAGGGGAGAAGCAACTCCTCCAAGTTGTCTTCTGGTTGTCACACACACATGTGACACAGGTGCATGAACACAAAGAAAATAAGAATTTTCTTTAGAAAGATGAAGATGTGGACAGCAGTGAGCACTCAGTGGTTAAAAGCACTGGTAGGTTTTCCAGAGGATCAGTTCGATTCCCAGCGACCACATAGCAGCTCAGAACCATCTATAGCTCCAGCCCTTGGGGACCTGCTGGCCTCTTCTGTCCTCCTTGAGTATGTGTGTGTATTTATATTTATAGTTGCCAGTTTTTCTTTTTTCAGTGAAGATGAGGACCAGACTGCAGAACTGGAACAGGGGAGAAGAGGCAGAGCCTGGATCCCTCCAACTGATGCCCCTACTGTGTGTAGCTGACCCACTCCACCCAAAGGGGCCTTCTGGCAGGGGCTGGGAACTGTCTAGCAATCTCATCACCTTGGCCCACGTCCTTGTCGAATCTCAGCACAATCACCTCTTCCATGCAACAGAACAGGCTGCAATTTGAAATAACAAGCTCCTTGCCTGAGGTCCAATCTTCTTCTGTTATTTGTTTACTTATTTATTTAGGGGCAGGGTTTCTCTGTATAGCCGGTGGCTGTCCTGGAACTCACAGAGATTTGCCTGCCTCTGCCTCCCAAGAGCCAGGATTAAAGGTGTGGGCCACTGCCACCTCACAGACTCTCCAGCACCTGTTCAAAGGACCTCCTATTCCACCTCACCCATGTCTGTCTTTCTGGGCTTCCTCCACTTGTCCTCAGGCCACTAACACTGAATGAGGAACCAACTCTGAATACAAATGCTTGAGTTTCAGGTTGAAGATTAAGAAGCAGATTATGGATGGTGAGACGGCTCAGTGGAGTAAATGTGCTTGCCACCAAACCTGACAACCTGAGTTTGATCCTGGAACCCACATGGTGGAAAGAGTGAACTGATTCCCACAAGTTATCCTCTGACCTCCACAAACATACTGTGGCATTCCAGTTCATACACTAGTAACAATAAATAAGATTAAAAAAAATACAGTGGTGCATGTCTTTAATCTCAGCACTTGGGAGGCAGGGGGAGGCAGATCTCTGTGAGTTCAGGCCAGTCTGGTCTACAGAGAGAGTTCCAGGACAGCCAGAACTGTTACACAGAGAAACCCTGTCCTGAAAAACCAAAACCCAAAAACCGGTGGTATGACTGGATCCTATTACAAAGAACGTGGTGACTGATTAGTGATGTCTGGGAGGAGTGCATGTTGCCTGAACAAGCACGTACTCCAAAAAGCCACTGCTTTTGCGTTTTGAAAAAGGTCCCAAACTGGCCTGAAACTCCCAACACCCACCACTCCTGGCTCCAAGATGCTTTTTCATTCCTCATTCCCACCTCTGCCTTTGTCCCCAGACAGGATCTAACCTGCCATCCTTCCTCCTCAGGCCAACTGCCGTCATCACCATCACTCTTGGCTGCACCAACTGCTCACCCTGACTGGTGGTTGAATGTCAGCTCTAGCTGTGACCTCCAGGTGACAAGGGACAGAAGCAGTCACTTGTTAATTAAATTCTTAGCACACCCCTGCAAGGGTGACTTCAGCCCTCCTCTCAGCTCTGGCCTATCCCTCTGAGAGGTGGCAGAGACAGCATGAGACCCAGGCCTGCCCAGCGCCCACATGCATGAGAAAAGTAGACCCACATGATTCAGGAACTTTGCCCAGGGCCAGTGTACGGGAACACCAGGCTGGTGATTCTCAGCTCAGCCTGATATTTGGGAGAAGATCACTTCTTTCTTTGTAGAAACGTAGTAGTGGCCTTCGTCTCTTCCCACTAGATGTTAATGGCACTCTCTACTACTACAGAAGGATTCCAAACACCTTCAGATACTCATCTGGGGAGACAGGACTGCCTTCAGAGAACCACTGACCTGGGTGTGCGTGTGGGCACGCACTGGGCCCTGAGTGCAATCCTCCTACACTGCAAAAGGTGAGCCACACACTGGGCTTATTTTCCGACAGCCTGGCAGGCTGAGCCTCTGTCTTACTCTGACCTCTCCTCTCCCTCACAATTTCTAATATTAAGAGAGTAACTTAAGGAGGTGTTAAGTGCCTGTCATTCCAACAAGCAGGAAAATTACAAGTCTAAGGTCGTCCTTGGCTACAGAGTGAGTTTGAGGCTAGCCTGGACTACATAAGACAAAACAGTGCCTCAAAAACAAAATAAAGCAAACACACCCAAAATAACTGGCATGGTCCTGTGGGTCACACCAGTCATTCCAGGAACCAGAGGCAGGAATTCAAGGCTAACAGCAGCTAGTTCCAGGAGTGTCTGGTTCCATACAACACACACCACCTCCAAACAACAACAAACCCATCTGAAGTTACTAAAGCAAGTTGTTATGGAAACAGACTTGGTGGTAACTTAAGAGCAATGAACATGGTTATCAACAACTGGCGGAAAGTGGGGACACCTGCCTACCATCCTAGTAGGCAGGAAGGCCAGGGCTGAACGGGGGCTGGGGGAAAGACTGGGCTACTGGGAGTTGGGGAAAGCCTGTCTACACGGGGGCTGGGGAAAGGCCTGGGCTACACCGAGGGTTGGGGAAAGCCTGAGCTATACGGGAGCTGGGGGAAGGCCTGGGCTACACCGGGGGCTGGGGGAAGGCCTGGGCTACACCGGGGGCTGGGGGAAGGCCTGGGCTACACCGGGGGCTGGGGGAAGGCCTGGGCTACACCGGGGGCTGGGGGAAGGCCTGGGCTACACCGGGGGCTGGGGGAAGGCCTGGGCTACACCGGGGGCTGGGGGAAGGCCTGGGCTACACCGGGGGCTGGGGGAAGGCCTGGGCTACACCGGGGCTGGGAAGGCCGGGCTGCCCCGCCCTCGGCCTCACCCGTTTCTCCTGCATCTTCTCGAAGGCCGCCTGCGCCGGCGTGCGCTTGTCCAGGCAGCGCCGCTTCTCCTCCTCGCTCTTCTTGCTCGTCCCCATGGCCTCCAGCAGCTTGGCCTTGTCCTTGTCCTTCTTCTTCTTCTTCCTGGGGGAGAGGGCCGGTGAGCGGTGCCGAGGCCAGGGGTCCGCCCTCAGGGACAGAGCGCGGGCTCCGGGGCCTCACCGCTTGGTCACGCCGAGCTCCGCGACGCCTTTCAGCTTCAGGGGCCCCTTCTGGACCTGCTCGTACGCCTCCATGGCCACCGCGCGCGGAACCCCACACTTCCTGTTTGTGCGCAGCGCTTCCGCCCGGCGCCCGCCTAGCTTCCCTATCATTGGTCGGCTGGGAGAGACGCATGCGTACTCGCGTCTACCACTCCAGCATACTTCCGTTCTCACAGCGCAGCCTGTCTAAACCCGTAATTGTGCTTGGACATCCGTTTCCTACTTTGTGGGCATCTGCTTTAGCTTTGTGTCATGCAACGTCTTAATTACCCCAGAGACAGAGGCAGGAGGATCTCTGAATTCGAGGTCAGCCTGGTTTACATAGTGACTTTCAGGACATCCAGGACTATGGAGACATAGGTACCCTGTCTCCAAAGGGTTAGCCTTTTTTTTTTTTCCCCCGAGACAGTGTTTCTCTGTGTAGCTTTGTAGACCAGGCTGGCCTCGAACTCACAGAGATCCGCCTGCCTCTGCTTCCCGAGTGCTGGAACTGAAGGCGAGCGCCACCACCACCCGGCTTAGGTTAAGTCTTTAAAATTACATCAGAAATTGTTTACCTTTATGGGTTTGTGAGTGTGTGTACGCACAGGTCAGGACATCTTGCAGGAGTTGGGTCTCTTCCACTTGCAGACCAGAGCCTCTGCCTGCTGAGTCTTTCTCTGGGCCATCGCTCCTGTTTCTGTGTGGGTTTGAGAGCAGAAGGGTCATGCTAAGTGAGTCTCATTAAACCTCGAATTTGCTGTGTAGACCCTCTCTGGGCTCTGCCTCAGCATCTAGAGACCTGGGACGGCAAGTGTGTGGCTTGTTTTGTTGGTGATGGGGTCTTGTATGCAGCAGAAGGTAACTTTAAACTTTCTTGTTGTTTGTTTTTGTTTTGAGGCAGGGTCTCATTATGTAGCCTTGGCTGTCCTCGAACTCACTCTGTAGACCAGGCGAGCTTTGAATTCAGGGAGAAACAACTGTCTCTGCCTTTCAAGCGCTGGGATTAACGGTGTGTGTGGTTGTTGCGTCGACACAACAACCTTACTTCTCCACTACTGGGATCACAAATGAGCTTGGATTTTCGTTTTGTTTCGTTTTCTTTAGCAGTTGTTTTGGAGGTTACATTTATTAGTGGACTATGTCGAACGAGTGGAGTTCAGATAACAACTGTGGGTTTGTTCCTTTCACTGTGTGTCCAGGGAATCAGTCTCTGCTGCTGCCTACCTTAGGGCTAAGTAGTAGATCTCAGCCACTATACCCAGATCACTAATGTGATGGCTATTCTTGGTTGTCAATTTGACTCCATCTAGAATTAAGGAAACTCAACTGGGCACACCGATGAGGGATTGTTTTCTTAATTAAATCGTTTAAAGTGGGAAGGCCCACTTTTTTGGTTTTTCGAGACAGGGTTTCTCTGTGGCTTTGGAGGCTGTCCTGGAACTCGCTCTTGTAGACAGGCTGGTCTCGAAGTCACAGAGATCCACCTGCCTCTGCCTCCCAAGTGCTGGGATTAAAGGCATGAGCCACCAACGCCCGGCAGGAAGGCCCACTTTTAATCCAGATCTTTTGAGGTGGGAAGATCCACCTTTAATCTGGGCCACACCCGCTGGCAGCCTATATAAAGTACTTGGAAAAAGGAAATGTTGAAGAGGACCCCACACGGGGGTGGGGTGGGGGGGTGGAGGGGTGTCCATCCCTGGATTAGTCACACACCACACCCAAACAGTCTGTTTCCATAGACAGATCCTTTATTAAGTGGGAACGAAAAGTTAAAGTGGCTGCTTCCTGACTCAGGCTAAAACAGCAGCAAATGATCCTGTAGTGTAATTTTAAAATTTTATTTAAATAACATTTTTCACTTATTTTACATACCAACTGCAGTTTCCCCTCCCTCCTCTACACCCGTTCCCTCCCCCCTCCTCATCCAGCAGACATAGTTTTTAAGAAGAGAAAAGGGAGGTCTGTGATAGAATGAGCTAGGGTGTGGTGATAACAAAGGTAGGGACAAGAGAGAATCGGAAGGGAACAAGGGGAAGGGGTACTTGTCCTAGAGGGACAAAGGACTGCCTCTGGACAGAGGGGAGATGGACATGCCACATAAACAAATAGCAAAATGAGAAACCCCATGTTAGGATGAGCTGTTTAATTGGGCATGTTAATTAGGGTAACCAAAGTGGGCTTCTAATTGCTGGACTTCGATATTTTGATAGCTGGACCTTGGCAGTCAGCCTCAGGAGGGGCAAGTGGCTAAGGGAATAGACCTTGGGGGCTAGCTTTGGGAATGTAACCTAACAGTTTTTAGCAAGGCAGAGGGAATGGAGAAGGGCAAGCCTTCCTAGAGCCATGTTTGCCAGGCTTGGGCTGGCTAGAGTTCCCTCAGGCACTCTCCCTTTGTTGGCTTGCCCTCTGGCTGGCCAGTCCGTTCCTTCCCTGGCATGATAGTCTACTTCTCCAGGGTTTTGCTGGACACTGAAGACATCCAGCCTCAAGGACTGAACAACTACTGGAGTTTTGAACTTAATGTTGGCGGACTGTGGTGATATATTGTTTATAATTTATTTTTATTTTTTTAAAGTTTATACACTGGACATCATAGCTGGCACCTATAACCCTTATTTATTTATTTATTATGTATACAACATTCTGCTTCCATGTATATCTGCACACCAGAAGAGGGCACCAGATCTCATAAGGAATGGTTGTGAGCCACCATGTGGTTGCTGGGAATTGAACTCAGGACCTCTGGAAGAGCAGTCAGTGCTCTTAACCTCTGAGCCATCTCTCCAGCCCCTGTTTATAATTTATTAAAGCTACCAGGGATCAAAATAGCAAAGCAACCATACTAGGATTAAGAGGTAGACCGATCTCTGTTAGTTCAAAGCCACACTGACTACAGGAAACTGATCCAGTCCTAAAAGAAACAGCTTACACAAAGGTGATCTCAGCACCTGGGATCACACGCCTTTAATCCCAGCACTAGGGTGGTGGAGAAAGGAGTATAAGGGGGAGGAGACAGGAATTAAGAGCCTTTTACCTCTGAGGATTCATGAGGACAGGATTGACATCTCAGCTGGGTAGAGTAAGATCTACTGGCTGGCTGCTTTGCTTCTTTGATCTTCAGCTTGAACCTCAATATCTGTCTCTGGGTCTTTTATGCATCGTGCTACAGCAGAATGCCATGGTTGTATCAGCTGTGAGCCCTTTTAAATATATTCATTCTACCAGATCTATACCCTAACTAATACAATATATGTATATATAGTAATAATAAATACATATATGTAAATATGTGTATTAGGCCCCCAGACCTTAGTATGACTGACGGGCATATTGAAATCCTCATTCCGACCTTACAGCAACAGAGGCCCCAACACCTGCCAAAAAGGGAACAAAGACAAAGTCTAGCCCATCAAAAACTGTGTTCATAGTCCAGGATCCAGGAAAGTCCCTAAGTGTACTAACCTTGCTTTTTCACTTCTGTAATTTTGTTTCTTGCTGTTCTTGCTAACCAAAGTGTGTCAACTAGGATGTGGGTTTTTTTTTTTTTTGTATATAAAAGAACTGGCTGGGGGTGGGGGTGCCTCATCACTTGGGAGGCAGAGACAAGAGGAATTCACTCTGAGTTCGAGGCCAACCTGGTCTACAGAGCTAGTTCCAGGACAGCTAGAGCTACACAGAGAAACCCTGTCTTGAAAAAATAAACAAAACGGGCTGGAGAGATAGATCAGAGGTTAAGAGCACTGGCTACTCTTCCAGAGGTCCTGAGTTCAATTCCCAGCAACCACATGGTGGCTAACAACCATCTATAATGAGATTTGGCGCCCTCTTCTGACATGCAGGCATAATGTAGACAGGACAGTATATACATGATAAATAAATAAATCTTTAAAAAAATAATAAAAGAGGGCTAGAGAGATGGCTCAGCGGTTAAGAGCACTGACTGTTCTTCCAGAGGTCCTGAGTTCAATTCCCAGCAACCACATGGTGGTTCACAACCACCTTGAATGAGATCTAGTGCCCTCTGCTGGCATGCAGGCAGAAGACTGTATACGTAATAAATAAAATCTTTATAAAATAAATAAAAGAAAAAACAAAACAAAAGACAAAGAACAAGAGGCTTGGAGCTCTGTAAATTGGGTAAATTCACTGTGTAGGCTTCTGGCAAGCAACAAAGACTTTTTTTTTTTTTAAGGATTTTAATTTATTATGTATACAACATTCTGCCTCCATGTATGCCTGCACACCAGAAGAGGGCACCAGATCTCATTACAGATAGTTGTGAGCCACCATGTGGTTGCTGGGAATTGAACTCACGACCTCTAGAAGAGCAGCCAGTGGTCCTAACCTCTGAGCCATCTCTCCAGCCCCTAAGACTTCCTTTTCAGCTTTAAGAGTGTCCATGTGTGCTCCCTGGCTTATTTATAAAACATATATGCTATGTATGAGTGTTTTGCTTGCATGTATGTAAGTATACCATGTGTGTGTTCAGGGAGGCCAAACGAGGGCATTGGATTTCCTGGAACTGCAATTACAGATGCTTGTGAGCTACCATGTTGGTGCTGCTGAGCCATCTCTCCATCATATAGTGTATGTGTGTGCGCATGCTGAAAACACTTAAAAAATATTTTTTAAAATTGAAGGCTATAGGCCAAGTGGTGGTGGTGCATACCTTTAGTCCCAGCACTCAAAGGCAGAGAGGAAGACAGATCTCTGAGTTCGAGGCCAGCCTGGTCTACAAAGTGAATTCCAGGAGAGCCAGAGGCATTACACAGAGAAACCCTGTCTCAAAAAACAAAAACAAAAAACAAAATTTAAGGGGCTGGAGAGATGGCTCAGCAGTTAAGAGCACTTGTTGTTCTTGCAGAGGTCCAGGATTCAGTTCCCAGCACCCACATGGTGACTCACAACCATCCATAGGCACACAAGTGGTGCGCATACAGACACACAGGGAAAACACAGCACATTTTAAAAATAAAACAAATTCAACAATATAAAACTTAAAAATGTTAGCACTATCCAGGTTTGGTCATTCAGGCCTACAATCCTAGTACTCAGAGGAGCAGGAAGAGGCAGGGGAAACAGCAAGTGTACCAGCCTGGTCTCCATAGCAAGCTCCAGGCCACAGAGGAGTGC